CTATGGTACCAGCCCCAGATGATAGGTGAGGGTGATTGTGGAGCAATTGGTGGAATGAAGATTGGCAGGGNTCAGGCCCTGGCTCGAACCCGGGCTGCCGCGGTGGAAAGCCAGCGACTAACCGTTTGAGCTATGACGCGGNTGCCACGGTGGAAAGCCAGCGACTAACCGCTTGAGCTATGGCGCGTTGAGATGATGTGTTTACCGAGCTGCTGCATAGCAATGGCCGCCTCTGACGCGACTGGAATAATTCAACCAAAGAGCACTAGAAGGGTCAGTTGCTACACAACAGTACTGTACGGAACGAGGACGGAATCCGTTCAGCACTGAAGCTACTAAAGCAATCTCCAGTGTTAGAGAAGAGACTTCGGATATGGATACAGAACAGGCACATGCTATGGAAAAGCCCGAGGCCCTGAGAAGTGAATTGAGAATAGCCACATCAGAAAAAAAAAAGACCTCGAGTTTGGAGAAAGAAAAGATGGAGGGAAGAGTGGCGTATGCTTTGAAAAGTTGGTACAAAAAATAATAGTATAATCAATAGGGTAACTCAGACCAGTACAAATGTGCCGGATCTTCATAACATGACCGTACACGTAAATGAACTGGCATCTAGAATTCCCCACGGATGGTGTCTTCGCCTTATCATGGTGGTGGAGTTTGAGTGCTCCTGAGACCATGGGAGCTATGCCGGCGGTAGCGTAGCTACTGTTAGGATCATGCATACCGGACAGGTCAAGGGGTAGGAGCCAGACGAAGAGGGATACCCTAGTCCTCCAGGTGGGGGATTGGAAGTGACGCTAAAAACCGCACGCCGTAAAAACTAAATTGTTCAGAAGCAGACAATCAGCCTCGCAATAATGGATTTAACGGAAATCGACATCACCGAAGGAGTTGAGATGGTTGGAGGATGTACATGATGATCTCCGTAAAGTGAAAGTGAAAGAATGGGGAGAAAAGATGAAGAACAGAGAAGAATGGAGGAAGATTGTTAGGAGGGCAAAGCTCACCCTGAGCTGTAGCGACGAGGAGAAGGAAGGAAGGAAGGAAGGAAGGAAAGACAGCTAGAGTTTGGCAGTTGGATGACTTCCTACAAGAAAAATAAAATATAATAAACGACTCGAAGAGACAGAACAAGCAGAAAGTGATCTCTCCCCACGAGATGCAGTTATAAACGGGTTAGAAATGAAACTGTAATTCCAGAAGAATTGCACCAACTACGCGAGGCTCAAAGATGTCGAAGAGCTACAGGAGGCCAAATGGATGAATTCTGTTCTGTGTGTCAACGGCGACAATTGGAAACTTGAGCAGTGGGAGGACAAGAGCACCAGCGAAGAAGGACTGATGACAGAGGTGCAATGCGGAGAAATATGCAGCATACTGTGCCAGATCAGACGAGGTTTCTATGAATATCGCTAACAAAGATCGTGAAATTACCTCCTACCCTCACTAACATTGAGGGGTTTGCCTGCAGTATCCACGACATGGCCACAAACTACTAGGACATACCAGAAGTTCTTGCAATGTTTCGCAAATTTTCTGCTCAGATAAGTACGAAGATGAGAAACTTCTGTGTAATGAAATGCAGCTCCAGACACGCGAGTCATAATGAGAGATCTTGACCGAAAACAAACTTCTGGGGAAAAGAAAAAGCTTCAAGGGATTTACAATGAGGAACAGAGACAACGAGAGAAATGTATCAGTAACGCAAGGTTTATTGGCGAGTTCTGGATCGTCGGAAGAGTACAAACACAAAAAATCTACATCTCTAATTGTAAGCTCTTTAAAGGCTGTGACAATTTATCCATGAAATTTTTGTACTCACTTCTTAAGACCGTTGCACAACAGGTTGAGGAAAGTAATGATGATCTGTCTCATTACTTAAAGAGCATAGACGAGACATGCGAAATGACTCATGTATCCACTCAGGACTTGGAGGAGTTACGCCACAAGAAATGGAACGGAGAAATACGCTGAACACCATATCCCATTCCAGCCAGCGAGGACAGCCAGAAATATTTCACAAAATCTATAAACATGCCCTAATGTTGTTCCATTGCTAAAGAAAAGCGGAAGCATGATCTTTTTTGTTTTTTGATTGTTTGGTCTAAGAGTATGTAGTATTGAAGAAAGTGTTGCTTAATTCATTCTTCTGTATCAAGTGAAGAGTTCATATAATTCAAATGCATTTCGGCCTGGAAGCTGTGAAAAGTACTAGTCCAAAACTCCATTCGCAATACTGAAGAAAACTGCGAATATCTAATGAATTTAGTAGTTTTCTTCAGTTTTGCAGTGATACACAATCGATATTCTAAAATAGGACATATAGAATACAGTGTAAGATTAGCATTTGTCCATAAAGTTCGGACAACAATACATCACTAACGACTCGTGTGATGTAATTCGAGTCTGCTTGCGTAGACCTACTACAACGAACATTTGGTAATTAGAGATCCATTATCTTTTCAGTACTTATTCAATACCTATTCAAAAAGGTTACCTTGCCCTCTGTACTTTTATTTCCCCTTTTCTTCTCACTATTTTAGCTTTCTGTTCTATTTGTGCGGCATATAACTTTCGAAATCTTTATCAAAGTTTGTGTAATTCTCAATCTCCTCCAACTTGCTATCAGGACATGATTGATGCTGTGACTTCAAGGAGAACAAACTGCTCACAGAATAAAGCAGTTATAAGTTTTCTCTTTCTTTGGAGACAAACACACAGGATGTCTCGCAATACGCTGCTCAGCGTAAGGTTTGAATGTAATCAATACACTTCGAGCATGTACCATGCAAATATCGTATTCCAATTCTCCTTGTTCGCGGTGTTTATTGGTACCGCACGTGACATGATGATTGGTCAGTACGTCAAAGAGCTTCGATATTTACGCTTTACATTATATCGTTAAGAACTCCATAATTCGATCTGCTCTTCTCATGAAGGTGAATATTATGATCTCCATATATTACAATATGCCGGTCACGGTAGCCGAGCGGTCTAAGGCATGTACTGTTTTCGCTCGCTTGGAAACCGGGATCGTGAGTTCAAATCCCACTCAGGGCATGGATGTTTAGTTTGTATGTGTGCGTTTTTGTGTGTTTGTGTACAGTTACAGGCCTTGCGACGAGCTGATCACCCACCCAAGGAGTACTACCGAATGTGCAGGATCTAGAAAAACCGAAGTGAAGGGAGAAGTTTATGGAGGTAGGCCTAGGCCCACTGGGGCTGTAATGCCAAGGAGAAAAAAAAAGAAATATATTCAATCTACAATTTCAATTAGCTCTTTCTAAGGGGCTAATTGAGCTAATCGAGATTAGCTCTTCCCAAGGGGCCCAACTGATTAGGTGTCTTCCTTCCTCACCTGAAGACGGAAACAGATCAACTTTCCGAAACGTCGTGTTTTCTATTTCCTAGAATTCCGGATGATGGAAAAAGTCCAAAAACTCAGTAATTCTGTGAATAAATTTGTGTTCGCAACAAATTCAAATACTGGCAAAAGATGAATTAAAGTTGGCAAGGAAAACCTCTGGCAATATTTGCGTTCCATGGAGCTCATATTTACCTCTCGCGTTTAAATAAACACGAGTATGAAGCTGCTGGACACCAGATTGGTTTAATTAAACATTTCACCTTGCTGAAAAGTCACTGAGCAATAGAACACGTAACGGGCGACAGGAAACTTAGGTTTTAAGCATTCAAATATGACAGTTCATTACTACGGCAAACGACAGGCTGTTTGTGAACTATAAAGATCAGTGTCTCACTTTACACAGCTCCAAACTTCATGCTCTGTTACTAAGATACTGGTCAGGTTGTTAGGCGTCTAATTTCCCGCCCCCTCAGCGCGGGGCGTCATTCTAGCCCAGATGTGAATCAAATTCGTGGATTTTCATAAGTCTAATATAAATATGTTTCTATCTACAAGACATATATATCATAGTTTCCAAAACCATTTTTTTTGTCCACTTTCCTTATATTGAAAAAAAAAATAGAAGTACTCTTATGAGATCTCCTTGCTGTGTTTATGCGTTTACGCTTGTGTCTGCATGCAGATGCCCTTCTACCCCATACATTTTGAATGACTGAACCAATCTTTATGAAACTTGGTTTGTGTGTCATGGCATCTGATCCCATCACAACGGCGTACTTCATAAATCCCTCACAACAGTCTGTGTGTCTGTGTGTGATCCCCTTTACCATTGTTAGGTAACGGATCGACAAATAAGTTCGCGCGGCAACGATTACGCGCAAAAATAGAACTGTTGGAAGTATCGTTTTCTGTGAGGATCATGTAATCAGAGCAGAGTCTGTTGGTATATACCCCTAGACCGAGGCTTGGTAAACACGTTCCCGCAGCAACAAAGGATTTTTGGAGGCGTCATTCTCTATGCGGTCAATGAAGTGTCGAAGGAAAGTAGTTGATTTCTTCCCAGAACTTATGTTTGAAATGAACATCACGTGGTCAGTGCTGAGGAAAACTGACCCTCTTTTTTCCTCGTATATAATATATAAAACGGTAACACTATGCCTGTAACAGGCCGTGGACTCCCATAGGGTTGTGAGACATCAAGGCTCCCACATTTTCTCTAGACAGTCTGCTCACAGATGGCGGTGAGTTGTTAGCCGTACGCGCCTGACTACATTTACCTCCTAGGGAGATTCCCCAGGGCCATAATACAGCTGGAAGGATTAGGTAATCTCAAAAAAAATCCATCTCATCGGCAATCGAAACTGCAACCTTCCGGCTTGTAGCATAGTGCCTCAACTAACTAACTAGTGAAAGAAATGCTTTTTAACATAAAAACAAATTATCTCAAGGTGTGAAAGAAATAATACAATTTTGGTCACCTAAAGAATGATTTGGTACAAAATATGTCTGCATTTCTACACTTGAAGCATGACTGAAACTGACGTAAATCATATTAGGGTCCTGAACATTGGACTCTCTGCTCACCAGAACTCATTATAAGTTGCTGATTTCTGTCACACTTTATACGTACCTGAGTACCATCAGTGGACACAGGCATATGGCGAAAATGGTTACCATGGAGATGAGATACTTCTGATTTCTCTTCTCTTTGCGAACGTCCAGTTCAGCTTCATACATATCGTAGTTCCCAGATCTGACGCCGTGACCACGGCAAGAGTAATGACTGTCCTCACAATCCTGCTGACTGCCCCTGAAATTCAAACCTTCTTATTAATGAGAACATCTGACGTCGCCGTTGCTGTACTTCATTAAAGGTTTTGTATTTCTAACACACATTCACATCTATGTAACTTCTATATATGTGATATTTTTTTTTGGATGAAAGTGCACTCCGAATCATTGAAAGGAGGATACTGAGAAGAATTGATGGCCCAATTTGGGGAAAATTGTCTGCGAGTTCTGACAATAAAGTTGGTGAACTCGCCACCGTGTGCTTGCCGTGGCAGCAGTGAACAGAAACCTCACTATGGTTTGATAACGCTGGCATATCAGCGATTCACAGCTGTGTTGTTGTTGATATATGGCAGTCTCTTTCTCAGTGGCGTCTATTGGTGTCTGCTTGTGGTTTGGTGTCTTGCAACACGACAATGAACCTGCTCACACGACACTGCCTGTGAGGAAGATTTTAGCTACTAAACAGATAACCAGATCTAACCCCAATGGCTCTTTTCTGTTTTTTCTTTAGTTTCTGGGTGTGGGGTGAGACTCAGTCAACTCTGTACGTCGCACACTAACTGGTCTATTGTACCAGGCCCGGATGATAGATGATGATGATGATGATGATGAATGTGGAGCAGTCGGTGAAATGCAAATTGGTTGGGGAAGCTGAAGTACTTGGAAAAAACCTTCCCCAGATCCACTTTCTCCACCACAAATCCCACATTACCTGACCTGGGCTCGAACCCGGGCCGCCGCTGTGTGAAACCGGCGACTATCCGCCTGAGTTATAGAACGGCCTTCGAATTAGTCACTATACAGCGAAATTCTATGAATGGACTATTAAGTTATTTAATGATGATGTTTCAACTGTGTAGTTAGTTAGTTATTGGAGAGGGTGGGTTTTCCCATGCACTTAGACCTGTATTGGTCCATTGTGCTTCCCTTTATGATTTCTACCAGTCTCTATATCCTACCGGTATTGGTGCTTACCATCAGTTCCGCC